AGTTTGAATCCCTCATGAAGGCCATGCAACGCTTTGTCATGCTGAACATTCCGGTGCGTTTTAACATTTTCATACAGACAGGCGAGTGAGATCATTGCGTTTCTGCGTGTAGCCGCCCATGCCCCGCAGCTATGCGTGGCGGAATGCGACTTTGGCGGCCAACCCGACGGCTCGAAACCTCGGCAAGGAGTGGCTCACGCAGCAAATGTACCACAACATGCACGAGCAGTTAGCGTTGCTTCCAGCCCTGAGCTGTGACGACGATTTTTTCGATACCGACGTGCAAACATCGAACGATGGTGACCCGTTCACGCGCACTGAAAGGGCGCAGTTCACGTGGCCAGGCACGGTGCAAATGTTCCGACACATGATCGAGAGCACCATGCAGGCGGTAACCTTCTACAATCCCCTCGAAGTGGCAAGTGCTTAGCCAGACGAATGGAGGGTCAACCTGACCTTTGTGTTTGATTAGGTGGTGGAAGAGACAGCCAACACGCGCCTGTTTCACACGACCACATCCAACGGCATATTCGTAAACTCGCTCCAAGGCCACTTCTCCGAAGCCAACCGGTTCGTCATGGTCATTCGGGAAGTCGAAGAGGACGAAGCTTATGTGTGTGATCTGCAGCACAAACAGCAACACTACATGTCGTGGTGTGTATTTACAGTTAGTTCGGGGTTGTTCGGGACAGTGAGCTTAGCTTTTCGTTGCATGTAGGACCGAGGTGCGGCAGGTATCTCCAACGCACATCTTGCTGCGCATTGTCAACCACGCGTCGCACCTATTTCGGGCCAACGACGGGTTTGTGAGTGTGGACGAGCTTGCGGCGTTGAGGGGCATCGATGTGACGGGTGTCGACGACGGCCTCAAGGACGCGTACGTGCGACGCGAACTGATCCGACGGGGGCGTGCGGATTTCGTGCGATGGCGGAAACATATAATGGACACGATGCACCAGTGCGCGACAAACTAATTGTAGAACACATTTTCTGAAGGGAGGCATGTAACTCACTCTGCGGTGTCAGATTATATGTAGTATAATTGTACAATACGTATTGTGCTTTTCACAACTTTTTGGCTATTCTGGGACTGTAAACCCCTCTTTTAAGGGCATCCCCACCGGTGCGACTGTACAATCAGACTGTAAAATACCGTTTTACAGTTGCTGTATTTTGATTTTCGTCAACCCCAGCGGTAAAACTGTAAACAATCCGAATAATGTTTTTATCCGGAAATGAACGCCTGGCCGCAAGGACGACGATGATGACATGGATCAAGCTTGGGAGATTCTTGGCTTTCATCAGTCTTCTGCGCCCTAAAGGCTCTACTGCCAACCGCCAGCCAAACCTACCATGAGATAGTGAGGCTGCGCATGCTCGGATTTACCTACTACTTTGGCCCCAATCCAATCTACGGCGAAGCCAAGTTTCGCCGTCGTTTTTGAATGGCCAGACCGCTGTTTCAACGAATCATGGACGGTGTGGTGATGCGTGATGAGTACTAACTACCCTTGGACTCGTTAAGTTGGAGCCACGGACGGCCTTGGCTGATTCCATTTCTGAACCTACTGATTGTTGTCTGCAAAAAGCACATGATTGGACAAAATTATCCATTGATAGCATGTTATTGGCTAATTCGTCAAAACTGTATTTTACAGTCGCGACTGTAAATCTGGCCGATTTGCTGTCTCGCGGTAAAATTTTACAGTTTCCTGTATTTTACAGGAGTACTGGTTTTCATCACAACAAAATTTGTCACTGTCACAACGTATTTCGTCGTTCTCACAAGAAAGTTGGCGTGGAATATTGTCGATTTGATACAAATTTGGGGAGGGGGTGCAATCGAATCGCACCGACCAAACCGATCCACAATCGATCTGATTGGTTCAATTTCATTGAGAAGATTTTGATTGGCTAATAATTTTGAGCTCTTCTGAAGTAGCCAATCAAATCGATTTAAATTCCAACCAGAAACCACGCCACAACACGAAATTTCACTCGAAAGCACAATATAACCGATCATGTGGTAAGCTGTTTTCAAGTTATAATGTTTGCGGAGGTACTGTATCCCAATTTCAGTTATGTCCTGGGAAGTTGAGGGTGTCAAATGTCAATCTATTGTCGGTGAGTTTGTTGACGATGGTAATAGCTGGTCTAAATATAGGGTAGCGGCATATCACCCAGGGAATGAGTACAACGACTCAGCCACAAGGTGTTGCAATTGAAGCCTGGTGGCCACGATTCAATCGTGCACAGTGTGCTTCAAGCCACCAGTCGCCCTCGGCGAAACTTTGTCGGCTTGTAGCGTAGGCTGAAATTAATCGTTCCAAATCGATGTGGTCGTTCTGGTTTTATTGCGCTGTTTTGGCACGAAATCTAGCTATATCCTACGTAGTAGATAGAATGCATTATGTTTTACAACATCAGCTGAAGGCTGCGAGGGTAGGAGCCCTTCTCTGCAAGTGGTGGCCGGGGCTTGTGAGCCTGAGACTGCAAATTGAACAATGAAGTCTTTGTAACTTATGATTGGCTATAAATAAAATGTATGTAACCAATCAGAGGGCATTGTACTTGGACACTCAACAAGGCTGAAGCACGATGGTGGGCTCGCTGCCTCTCCATGCCTGACTGCTGTAGTTCCCTTGCATTGGGTATACCCTTGTCGAAATCAATCTTAGCTATGATGGCAGCAGTTGCTATGTACCGGTCATTGTGCTCATTTGTGATGGCAGCGTCACACACAGCACTTCAGTAATCCGCCATGAACGTGAGCTACCTTATTAGGCCGTTGTGGTTGTACTGTACAGTAGTGGAGAATAGAAACCTGAACCTTGCATGAATTTGAGTTCACAATGCGTCATGCAATATTTGATTATGTGTTTACGTCTGTGCGCTGTACATTGAGTGAATGGGCTCAACTACAGGATACGCAGTAGGCGCTACCAGTAAAAGTTTGGACTTAACTGTGAGTCGTGGGGTATCCACATGTAGAAGTCTACAGTGGCCCCTCATGTCATTATGACTTCCTCGTAGTGTTGATCGTTATAATTGCTGCAATGTGCAACCCATGCATAACGTTAGTATATACCCTGCACGGCCCTTCG